GTTTGGCAGGAGCAGCAACGGCCTGGTGGCGATTGGTGCGACCTCGCAGATTAATTCCCTTCTCCCCATGCAGACTGGCCGGACAAATACTCTTTTCGTAACCATGTCCAACATGCTCGAACTGAGGAAGCATGTGCACACGCACAGCTGGAGAAGCACAGAGATGCAGAAATAGCAAAGAAAATGCCGGACCTTCTAGCCGTGAAGTAAACATCTATTGAGGACTTTGCCTCCTTGTTGACAGGGATTAAAGGTGTCAGGCGCCTTAGGTCTTGCTCTTTTTTCTTCCCGAAACTGGACACAACTTCACGTCACGAGACCTACCGGCTGCAGTCAGCGGGAAAGTTGAACGGAAACGCTTCACTCAAGATACCTGCCGCGGCCAAAGTCCAGGTACCTTGCGTCGTCTTCCACATACCGGTTCGTCCGGGGTGGGGAACGGGTTTCTGTGTGGGGAGCTTTCAATCGCCACCTGTGGAGGCCCGTTTAGGAAGTTTGACGGGGCTCAAGGACCGTGCCCTTAAACCCTTAAGGTTTAGGGTCCAGGGTTTAGGTGTTCCAGGATTAGGGGTTCAGGGTTGAGGTTTCAGGGTTTAAGGACCTCAAGCCACCACAGGGCTTTGGGGATGAGAAGCACAGTTCCGATAAGAGCCAGCTTTCTTTTTGGAACCTCTTATCCCTGAAACACTAAACCTTTTCATGAGTGTTTTGCAGCTTTCCGTTGGGGTGTTGTAAGTTGAAGGCTTACTATACCCCGAACCTCAAACCCTTTGCTTCAAGATTGGGGCTGAAGGCGTTGCGAAGTCGGGTTCTTTCTAGAAGCCTGAACAGATAGAGGCCTTTGTTCCTCATAGTCCCGCGTTATTGTACAGTAATTCATGCATCCCAAGACCGTATATTCTTATCATGGTTTGGACTTCAGTCGTCGAAAGTTTGCAGGAGGTAGCTCCACAGCCGGATCGTGCAGCAGCCAGGGTTGTACACAGAAGCCCAAATGGACAGAGACAGCAAGGAAGGGTAAGGGTGCTATAAGATTCGATAAGGATTTAGGGTCAAGGAGCATACCATCAAGAGTACAACCCTGCTTAGAGAGCCCTGTACCTTTTCACTGGGGCTTTCCTGTCAACGAAGATGCCAATGCCAAGCGCTCGTCATAGCAGACGGGTGCCGGCTTCTGCTGTCCACGGAGGTAGGAACCGGATAGAAGAAGCCTTCGTGTTCTTAACAGGGTCATCAAAGTGGATCCTCCAATACGGGTGACTCAGAAATAGGGGCTTCTTAGTCAGGTTCCCACGGATGACATGATGCTGTTGAGAAGAGCCGCTGGTTGAAAAGTTGCAGGGATGGCTTTCAAGCACCAAGCTAGGGCTCTAACGTTTGTGTCAGTTCAAACACTTCCGCTTGCTACATCAGCCCTTGACTTGATGTACTTTACCAGGGATTCTGAGCCTTCAAAGGGTTTTTTGAGCATTGATGCTTGGCCTTTCCAAACCCTAAACCCTGTCCATGGCCTGAGCCGACGACCCTCAACTCACCATCTCAACACCAAAATCATCTGAAACGCACAGCTCCCAACAACGAGCCCAGGGCTATTGAATCTTTGAATTAACACACCAAGACTCTATGCCAAAACGACAGAACCCTAATCCTGAACACCCACAGCAACCTTGACTGCCCAAATCCATCTCTTCCGCTTCTTCCCCTAAACTCTGAAAGCTGATTCCGAAACCCTAAACTTTAAAGCCTAAATCCTGAAAACTGAATCCTGCAACCTAAACCTTCAAGCCCCAAACCTGAAAACTGAATTCTACACCCTAAACCTTGAGCTCTAAGCCTTGAACATGTGCTTAGCTCAGCCCAGGAGTTCTGCCGAGTGGCATGGATTGTAGGGTTGAGGGTGTAGAGTTTCAGGGTTCAGGGTTTGGGTTTACGGTTTAGGGTTTAGGGTTTAAGGCTTAGGGTTTAGGGTTTCAGGGTTTAGCGTTTAGGGTTTCAGGGTGTAAAGTTTAAGGTTTATCTCCTCCCGAGGCATAAACCCTGTGGCGAAGTCATGAGGCAAAAGAATCGTAAGAGTCTCCAGTTATGGCCCTCCATTCAAACGTACCACAGCATACCCTCAAAGCCACATTCTCCGTACTGAGGATCTGTTCAAATTCTGGATTCGAAGCCCTTCCTGCTCCTTTATGCTTTGGAGGTCAATCCTACTTAATCTAGGGCTGAGGCTGCAGGGAGTCGGGGGTTAGGACGAGGGGTTTTTTGGAGATGGAAGCCTTGCTCGCTGTAGGATTTAGGCCTAAATCCCAGGCCCTAAACCCTAAAGCCCGACACTGAAACATCTCGGACACGCAAGAAACTCGAAGTCCCCAAACCAGCCTCTTTTTGGCTTAACGGTTTTGGGTTCCAACACGATGCACTCCCGAACTTGTGACGGATTGCATGTGCTGGGGTCCAAAAAGCAACTAGATCCTTTACATCCTAAGCCGACAGCTTCCGCCCGCATGCCGCCATTTGCCTGTCACCCATCGCCTTCGTCTTCAAGGTGGGTGTGCGCTTTTCGGGTTGGAGGTTGCGAGATTCCATGCTCCAACTTGGCGCGCAGGTCTGGGGTACAGTGTACCGATTGGACTTGGGGTTTTACATCCAGGTTTCAGGGTCTAGGGTTGAGAAGCTCAAGCTTTCGAGTGTGCAACCCTAAACCCTAAATCCTAAAGCGCTTCAGGGTTTATGCTTCGGCTGTTTGAGTTTCAGGAAGCCGTAGCAATGTGAGACCCTGAAGCTCCAGAGCCTCAACCCGAAACTCCCATATTTGTATGTGTGCTTACATATATATATATAGATACATACACACACACACACATATATATATATATACAGACACACACACACACTTTAGGGTTTAGGGTTTAGGGGTAAGGGGTGTCAAAAAAAAACAAATATGTAGATATATACATAAATAACTAAATAAATAAATATATATATATATATATATACAGAAAAAGCTTAGACCCTAAACCCTAAGCCCCTACAAATCTCAAAGCCGTCAGTCCTTGACAGTCAAGCCGAAGACTGATTTGCTATCACAGCTCCGAAACCCTAGACGAGCCCACCATCTGAGCAGTGCCTCGGCCATTTTTCCTCAGAGCTGGGCCGTGGCCGCTGCCGGAAGTGTGCAGAAGGAGGCCCCTGGGCTGGTTACTTTCTGCAGCGTTTTATGGAGCTTGTATTTACAACGATACTATAACCAAAACCCTGAACCCTAAACCCTAAACCCCTATACCCTAAAGCTTTATGGGTTCTAGAAGGGCTCGAGTAGGCTTTACAAGTTTGGCGTGCAGTATCGGAGGTTGGTTAGGGTTTGGGGCGATCTCGGGCTTGGGTCGCAGCTTTTTGACAGGGTTTCATTAAACAGCTTTGTGTGGCTTTTATGGCTCTACATAGAGGTGTTCGGTTTTCTTTGGGGGCTTTAAGGTTCAGGTTTCAAGATGGTGGGCTTCAGGGCCCACGGCCTAGGGTTCTTCAGCTAGCGAGGATGTATAGGAGATGATTACTATGCATTTCCGCCGCCGGAACCATCGAACGGTGCATTTAGAGGGGGGGCCCTCTGTACACCCTAGACCCGAAACCCGCAACCCTAAGCTCTAAGCCCTAAACCACCAGAATCGAAGCAGGCAGGTGTTAGGCGGTTTTGCGTTGAGGGTTCGTGCTTCCGGGTTTTGGGGGAAGTTGAGGGTTTACGGAAACCCAACAACTCCCAGGCCGTAGGCGGTTCAAGGTTTAGGGTTTAAGGTTATTGACGCTCTCTGGAAGGTTGAGCCGTTGTGAAGCATGGTGCCCATCGTTACCGGGTTGCCTTTCATCACGCAGCTTGGCCTAAACCTTAAACCCTAAACCCTAAACCCTACTCCTCGAAGCCTTACAGGAAGCCATCCTGGGGCACCAGCCCTGCACACCAGGATCCCGAAATCTTGGAACCTTTTCAAAAATCCCAGAGCCGTACGCCTGAAAACTACCGAAATCGCCAAAGTCCACAGATACCGAACTATGGGAGCCCCAATGCTTACCGAGGCAATTCGTGAGGGTTCCTTCGTAGAAGTAAGCTACAATAGTTTACACCAGGAGGTTAGTTTATTCATATATTGAGGCCCCTTCCTTACATCCGAAGCTGGGCGCTCCAGGGATTATTTTTCCGGGTTTGGGGTTTGGGGTTTGCGGGTGGGTACTTTGGAGTTAGGGTTGATCTGTATCTGAAGTACCATGGTAGTGACAAGCAGGGTTGTAAGGATACTTTGTTTTCTCAAAGCCCCAAGATGCCCCAAGTATGGTACTCTCCATTTCTTTCTGGAGCAAGCCCAATGCAAACCCAAGAAGGGGGGGAAAGGAAGGGGCACGCAAGGTGCGTGGTACTCCCTACAGACAGCTCAAATCCATTGGAGGA